CACTTAGTCTGTAGCTGTCTTTGAAGTATTTCAAGAAGTACTCCCTGACAAAGTAAGAATGCAGTTTTTCATGTGAGATTATATCCCTTGCAAAATATTCTCCCAGCAGCGAGAAGGAGACAGTGATGTAAGAAGAGAGCATTCCCTTCCTTGCTTTTTACTAGGTACTAAGAGGGTGACCTCTGTGATTCTCCCTATAGAACAGAGGCAAGAAAAACTCTTTGTCATGATGAAACCCAAACCCCCAACGTGATGGGGCACAGCATGAACAGCCAGACTGTCATTTTGCTTTCCTTTCAGAAAACCCAAGCATGTGTCTCATGGCTGATGTTAAAGGTGACCTGCAAATGGGGGTTAACAATGAAACACAGTAAACCTGAAATGAAATGATTTTTTCTGGTTGTTTTTTGAAGCATCGGGTATTTAGGCCAGTCTACCCTGTGAGATTCTGCACAACTGGAGAATTACTGAAATCAGAGCTTAAAATAAAAAAAAAGGGAACTGCAGAAAGCAAAAAGTGGTTTAGTTGGGGTTTTGAAACCTATAGATACCAGTTTAACTTCAATGACTAAATAACATTTTGGGTAAAAGAAGCCTTTCTTAAGTGTTCCAAATCCTTTGGTTCAGTTTTAAATAAACCCAGAGGCTCTTAAAAATTGTGCAGCAAAGCCAGAAAATATTAGATTTTATATTCTTTGTGCTTGGAAGATAAATAAAGGGGGCGGGGGGGGACAAACCTACTTCAGGGTTTACTTGTCATAGAGAAAATAACAACCCATGTACTGTTAATTGAACATCAGCAACAAGTTAGGTGCTTTATTTGGACAAGACTACTTTGTGCTCTTAAAGCTGAAAACCAATCACAGTTCTTACTTGGTGAATCATTTAGAAGATAAACCAGTAGAGCTGCTAACCAGCATATGAGATTATGTGGCAAAACACATGTGAGATCTCTGATTTCTCTGCAGGGCAAGGTGAGATTTAGCTTCTTCACAATAAAATGAACATTTTAAGGGGGCACCCTTCCCATGGCGTTTTTGAGGAGTGCATTTTCACACTGCCCCATCAGTTTCACTCCTTTCTTGAATCTGGTGCTTCTGCCTCCCATCTTTCCATTGCTTGCTTCAGCAGCAGCCTCGCTTTTAGCTAGACCCACATCAGTGATGCCTCTTCCAGTGGGAGCCAGCAGAGCTAACTATCAGCAAAACTACTTTCTGAGCTCTGAGATCAGTTGCTTCCCAGGATGTTGTGTCAGCTTCCCTACCTTCTGCCTGCCATTAATTTCAGTGGGCCCCCAGGTCAAACAACTGGCCAAAATCTGGGAAACAGCTGATGGTCAGAGCAGCTCCTACTCAGCATGTCCTCTCAGAGGGCACGCTCCTGGGCTGGTCCTTTTGAGTGGCTGGACCTGCTTGACCCAATTTGTGGATTTTTGATCACTCCCTTGGGTCACTGATTTTCCACTTGAGGTTATTGGTTTGACCCTCAAACCGTGGGTCACTTGGGAGGTGTGATACAGCCCTGTGAACTCTGAACTCATCAGGAGCCAACAAAAACAGCGAGGAAGGGGAGAAGAATTTCATTAGCCCTCCTCAGAGATGGCAGTGTCTGCTGAGTGAAAAGGCAGGGTCTGTTTGGCTTCTTGTAGAAACAAGCACAGCATCTACAAGGGGCTGCCAAGTAGAAAGTGTTTGCTTTGAGTTGTTATGGCAATTTGTTTAAGGGTAAACAACAGCATATACTTTTACACCATGAGCTATCAAGTGAAAACGGTGCTGCTTCAGAGGAGCCCTGTTCTTCCTGACAGGAACTGCCCCCAGTGTCCCAGACTTACTCCTAATCATAACAGCATTTCTACAGCCAGAGCTTTGTATCTGTCGGTTTTCCTTCTGCCTTAAAAAGGCTGACTTTCTCATGGTTAATTTGACTCACTTGGGAAAGGAAGGGCTGTTTTTCCTGTGTTGTAAGACTTGTTAGATGGTGGTTCATGTCAGAGGTTCATGGAGACTCCCCAGGCTGGTTGGTTGCACTGTGAGCAGTTCCCTAAGAACCAGACTTCACTGGGTATGGCTGGTAGTTGGGGAAGAATGAATCCTCAGGAAATAACTTGGCTTCAACATGCAGTGCTGGTCATAAAAGGGAAGAAAAGTGTTGTCACTGTAGCATATGTATCTGCCCGCATATCACCTGCTGGGATCTCCAGGGAGGTGAGCTGGAGAATGTGGTGCAGCCATGAGGATATCTGTAATGAAATTTCCTCCAGTTTGGGGCAATTATCAGGGTTTCCCGAGGTTTTACTAATGCAAGAGTTCTGGAAATCATTGGTTCTATCACTGCTTGTACTATTGCCAAGGCTGCTAAAACTCTCACATCCTTCTGTCTTTCTGGGGTTTCCCTAAAGCATCCATGTAAAGCTGATTCAAGCCTTGTCTCCATGTACAACCTTTCCTCCCAGCTGCTAAGCCCCGACTTAAACACTCAAGAATGATGCCACCTCTAGGTGTTTCACACTCAGAGAAGGGAAACTGGTGCTTGAACATTGATTTTTTTAGAGGCAGATTTTTCTCTTCCCTCATGTTCCTCTACAGTTTATCTACACAATCAAATGTATTTGCTCTGAGTGAACCAGTGGTGGATTTAGCTTTGTAGCATAGGTAACAGCAGTGAAGATCTGATGTCACAAGCTCAGCAGCTTGGGTACATGCTTCAGGTCTAGTGTGCTTGTGCTCTGATGGCTCAGACTCCACTGAACAGTCCTAGGTCAAAGCCACCTGAGGGCACTACTCTCTGCACAGTCACAGCATCTCCTAGAATGGGACCAGCTGAGTTTTCCTAGAAACAGCTCTTTTGGCTAGATGACAAAACACTGCAACATCCAGACCTCCTGTGTGAGATGTGGGGTGAGCTGTGTGCTGAAGCCTCAGTAGATGACGTTGGTGGCTCAGTCCTGTTCTCCAGTCATTTTCATACCAATTAGTTTTGAATTTGTTATTTTAGAATAATTCAGTTTTGCACTCCAAAAGCTACCTGGCTCTTCAGTGAATTCTGGATCAGGTTTTCCAAGCTCAGTCCCTTTTTAATATGATCCACAAGAATTTGATTGACTATAGCTGCCGATGAGAACTTCTCATAAAATCTAATATACAGGATTTTGAGCATTATCCTTATATTAAAAGGTGATGGGTGTAGGTTTGACACTTGTTTCTATTAGTTTGCTGCTTGACACGAAGCAGTTCCTGCCATCGCAGAAGCCTTTTATGATTGGAAGTGAGTTTTTGCACACAGAGGAACTAAAATCTGAGTGTGATGGGACTGACTAGTGAACAAGTCTTTGTATAGGAATACATGGAGCAACGCTTTGGCCTGCTGTGGAAATTAGTCTTTGCTGCAAGGCGTAGGTGTGTGAGCAGAGACAGCAGTTGTCTCAATGCATATGGTTAAAAGAGTCCTTTTAGTATCTCAGAGGGTGGCTTCAGGCCGTTCAGCACTCTGTCTGGACTGTCTCATAAGGAGGGGGGAGAAGGGGAGGCTGGGAGTGCCTGTCTTTTATAATGTTCTGTTTTTAAAGCAAAAAAAGTCCCTTGGGAGATAGGGTCCTAAAAGTCCAAGGCCTGGAATTCTTCCTTTTGCTCTTTCCATTTTAAACAGGAAACATTTGCACTAAGTTATTCCAGGGGGAGAACTGTAGGTTCATTTCAAGGCAGATAATGTTTGTTCATTGCCTATATCCATGATTTACCCCATGGGCTTAAACGAGTGCAGCAGAAAACCACATGTTTTGTTTTACTTCATGCAAAACAAGTTCCAGTGAGTCTAGGAGCCCAGATTAAGAAAGGGGGAGCATGCTTGTAAAATCTCTGTGTGAACAAGAGAGTCATTGATGAGTTGCGAACACCTGATCTGTTGGACCAGAATGATGACTTCTATATTAAATCTATGCAAAGAATATATAAGCAGTTGATGAGTTCAGTCTCAAAGCCACAGAGCAGGTGTAATTGATTTATACTTTTAGCCCCTATTTGGGTCAAAACCCTGTTGACTTCCTTCAGCTCTCACTCAGAGAGAAGGTTCCTCTGCAGTCAGTGGGAGGCTTTGCCCGAAGTGCAAAGACATTTGCAATCAGACTGGCAAAAACTCCTAATTGAGTTGAACTTTTGGGGATGCTCTGGTGACATGTCTGTGAGAACAATTATTTTTGCCATTTGAAAAGTATCACAAGTTAAGGTGTACTAGGAAAAAATATCAATGCTTCATTAGTGCAAATCATGGAATTAAGATGCAGAAAGCTACAAAGAGGGCTCCATGGCACATCCTCAGGGATGACATGCTCACATGTTGCTTTCCTCGTGAACTGGAGCTCATCAGGTCCATACTAATGCAGGTAAGTTACAGGGCTGTTGTAGTATCAGGCTTTCTATATCACAGGAGATTTTTGAAACCCCATTGGCAGCTTGCCCATTAAACACAGGTAACATCCCTTAGTCTTTCTTCCAAGAGTTCCAGTTTTTGCAGCTGTCTGGGAAGTTGTACAGTCTGACATGTTAGGAGGAAAAAATAGTGGGAAATGGCTTGGAAAGCATGACTATTTGTGCATGTAAAGCTCACGGGATTTGCAGTTTTGCAGACCCAACTCATCTGTTTATCCTCAGGCTAGATAAGATTCAGTCAAAGATGCATTGTTTAAAGGAGCTGTGTTTCCATTATGGCAAATGGATCAGAGGAGGCTGACTTTGGGCACTGAAGGGCTCCAGTGCTCCGCCATTGTAAAAGGGCTGTGATGTGCACTGGACCTTTCCTCCAGCATCCTGGGTGTCACAAACTTTCATAGCACGCAGGTGGGAGCCCTGTTACTCTTCAGAAGTTCTTTTGATTCATCTGGACCTGTCATGCTTGAGGTGGCGTTTCCTTTCCCAAGGTAAACATAGATTGTGAGTACAATAACGCGTCGCTGAGCTAGCAGGCTGCCTTTTTATGTGCTTCATTATGTTTTTCCTCCTCAGGCGTGGACCTGCAGAGCCACTGGAATATTTAACGGGGCCACGAGTAGTATACAAAGAGAGAGATCTTCCTTACTACCAAGGAGGAAAGCCTGTCATCCACCCATCTAAGGGGAACTACATCCGTGTGCCAGACACAAGAGTGGCAGAATTGAGGTACCCCCAGTACTACCCAGGCCAGCCCGTCACAAACCAGCATAAAGGACCCCTCCGGCAGGATGTGCCACCTTCCCCTGCTCAGTCCCACCGAGCACCAGCCTATAATGAAATTGTCCGACACCGCGGGACCAGTCCGGAACAGTACCAGTACAGGCAACAGGATCCCAGGCAGAAGAACCCCATGACTGCAGCTGTATAGCTACACACTGGACTTGCTAGCACAGCTGGGGAGGAATCACATCGGACATTATATCCTTGTAGAGTTGTTCCTAGCGTAGCTGCCTGTAAGAGTGGCACACGAGACCTGGAGTCGTTCTTACTGAGCTGGGCTCAGCGTAGGTGCTTTCTAACAGGCAAACGAAAGCCACATGAGGTACAATGTGTTTTGAGTACATGAGGTACCAGACAGTTGAATATTTTTTAATTCCTTTTAAAAATAGACAGTGGCTGCTGTAAAAGAAGCGCAACACTTAATACACCTCAGGGCTATTTACTGAATCCAGTTACACCTATACAGTATGCAGCTGTCTGTATATATAAAGGGCAGTGGTGTCACCAGAGTTTACTTCAGAGTGCTGTTGTAGAGCCTTTAAGTGGGAACACAGCATGCAATAAGGACTTTGTGCAGAGCTGAGAATCTTGTGTAATCCAGTGTGACTTGACAAGGGACTGCCACAGAGGTAGTGGCCACATTCCAGGCATGTTCAGACCAGCAGCGCTGTGCTATAAGGATGCTGCAGATTTGTAATCTGGCCTGTCTTCCTCTTTCTGTTTGCTGGTGGCAGCATTTATCTTTTAGCCTTCATTTTTTGCAGGTTGTGTAGCAAGATCTTCCTCTTGTTGCAGCTGCTGCATTTAGAGTAAGACAAAAAGCTTTACCCACCATGCTTGGGCAGGCTCGCAGAGGACAGGGCAGCCAGCCACCCGAGAAATGTGTCTGTACGTGTGTGCACTCATGACTGTTTCTTAGTTATACAGTATGTGCTCTTCAAATGTAAACCATGGAGATCAGATCCTCAGCTGCTGCCAGCTCTTGGGGTTTCAGTAGAGCTGGCCTACAAGAAGTGCCTGAGCAGATGCTGGCAGACAGGAGCGCCGTGATTCATATTAAGTTACTGCATCAGGTGCTCCCTTGGCTTCAGCAGGAGCCCCGCCACAGCCAGGTTACAGCATAGTGCCAGCAGCATCGTGCCCTGCCCTCGCCAGCCTTGCTGCCCTGGGAAGGAGCCTGTCAATGCAGGGCCACCCGAAGTCCCCCCAGTGGAGCTCAGCCTCAGCCGGTGCCACGTGCCAAGCTACTCAAGCTCCTGCAGCCAGGGGCCATCAGGCCAGTGGGGAATGTTATGTGCAGCAGTGCATAGGAAGAGAGAAGGTGTGGATGGGAAGAGGGGCCAGCAGCACAGCAGAGCTGGAGAGGGGCACAGGGCGGTGGGGTTTGTGCCAGCTCTTTGCCCCACGCAGCCTGAGCTTGCTCTGCAGCCAGCCAGCCTTGGGGAGGTCAGGAATGCATGTCCCCAGCCACAGGGACCTGTGCTACTGGCCCAACAGGGCCATGGCTGTGCAAAGCTTTGTCTCAAGGGTTTTGTCACAGGGAAACCATATGGTCTTGTCACCTAGAAATACATTTTGAGAAGTTTCCAAGTGCCCTTAATTCCTCGACTTCTGCCTTGATAGCAGAGTGCTATTAAGCCATTTGGGCTCCTCTCCTCATCAGGGAGAGACTGTGACCTGGCCACGCATTAAGCACAAGGATTTCTTTGATGTCTTCTTGACACCTTTGGTATGCAACAAATTAAATCGCTTTGGTCACTTCCCAGGTATTAAATATCACCAGCAAGGTTTGTCCTGCTAGGATCATGTCTCTTTCCTAGCTACCCCTGGGAAAAGGGCTTGTTAGCACAAGAGCTCTGGAAGGCCCAGGGCATGGTGGATCTGCGTGCTGCTGCTTTCCAGGAGCCACCACTGGTAATGGCCCTGATGAGAAGCAGTGTTTAAACCCAGCCAACGTTTCTTCTGTGCTGCTAATGCTGGTGAGAGACTGGCATAACCCCGAGGCCTGGGGAGCACTTGCAGCTGCTCAGCAGACTCTGTCATTTGCATTCACACCAATCTGTACCCACCAGCCAGGCTGGGAAGCAGGGGAGAGGAGACAGCTTTGGAATGGTGGGAGAACATCTCCATGATTCAGACCTAGGGCTTGACTGCCTGGGGCAGGGGCAGGCACAGCTCTAAATCCAGTCAGGAGGAAGCATTGGTGGGAGGGAGAGAGGGAGAGTCATGCAACTGATTATGGAGCAAGTTCAGTTCTTGTTCCATGTCTTTCTGCCCTCTTCCCTAGTAATGTAGGAGGGAAAAACCCCTGGAGGGAGGGTTGAATGTAAGGCTGGACGTCTCTCGGAACCCTCCATAAATAAAGCACATTCCCCAAGGAAACTCTGCCTGTCGTGTACGTGCTGTACACAGCCTTGTACTTCTCTCTAAAAGAGTTTTAGATGCTGCAGGATACTGAGCCAGGACTTGGCAGCCACGGGGTAGCCGCTGGTGTTATGAAGGCCTGCTGAAAGTGAAGTGAAAACAAATTAAAATACTTTCCCTCCTTGAAATATAACCCCTCATACATTTGATCCAGCTGTAAAGAAACTAATAGGTTTGTGACAGTGGCTTTATCAAGCCAGGCCACAATTAAGAACAGCTCTGAATATAAACTGCTGCCTTTGTAAATCACTCTCAGCTAACCCTTCAGATGGCATCACAGTGAACAGTACTTACTTACAGTGTTTCAAGAGCCAGGGCCAAATGAAATCTGGATGGAAACAGCTCCTGCGTTATTTTTAGCCTTTGAACGACCTGCGCAATTGTCTCCCTGTAACCTGAATTTCTCCTTAAGAGCTCCCCTTGACTGCATTGCCTCCACTTGGTTGAGGTGGACAGATCAGCAAAACCCCACCTGAGCTGTAAATCTTACCCAGCAGATTAGTAAGTGATGCTTCTGCTGTTAGATCAGTCCAGAGCATCTTCCGAAAAAGGGGGAAAAAAAGAAAGTATAATATATGGATGCATCCTCCAGATGAGGGGCGAAGAACAGTCTGACCTAACTGGGGGAACAAGACCAAAAAGTATTACAGAGCATCTCATCAATCTCTGGTGCCATTGTTCTGGGAGAAAATTGCCATTTGCTGGTTTAATATCTGGTAGAGGTATGGTATTTTCAAAAGTATAACGTGTAACTACAGTATATATAGTCAGCTTCTCTGCAGTGTAAAATGTATGATTTTAGCACCATATTGTGGAAAAATATGTACCGTGCAGAATTCACGAGGTGCTACAACTGACGGTTGAAAATACACACTTGCAAAATCCAAAAGAGCCGTTAAGTAACAAGTTGTTCTTTTCCCCATATGTCCATATGTTTGGGAAAAATTATGAGTCTGAAATGCTCTTGACACATAATTGCCTCACGCTCCCTCATCCAAAATGTGCCAGTCCAGCAGTGAAGTTGCTGACGTAGTGGGTGTGAAGGGAGAGTTGGGGTTTGCCCCAGGAGCAGCGTGCAGTAAGTGCGTGTGCGAGCAGGAGTCGGGACAAGGGGGAGAGCGGCCCGCTCTCACGTGAACCTGCAAGCTTTGGTTTCCTGAGCTGGTGGCGTGCAGCCTGCCTTTCTGGCTCTGGCTCGGGGCCAGCCGGGCCCAGCAGTTGAAAGATTAAGAGATAGAAAGAGAGCCTGTGGATTTTCTGAGTGACCACCCACTAGTGAGCCATGGTCTTGGCTTGCAAGCTGACATTACCACTGTGATATATTGTGATGCTGAAGTCTCTAGGTACCTCTCAAATGCGTAAAGAAATAGCAATTGCCCGTTGCGGGGGGGGGGGGGGGGGGGGGGGGGGGTGTTGAACTAAGCATTAAAGAAAAAATAAAGGCTTCTGCCTTTTCAAAGTGCATGCAGCCCTGAATTCCAATTCACTCCAGCTTCCTGATCTACAAATAGCTTCACATGCTGCCTAATTTTTTTACAGATGAATTGTGCTACCTCCTCCTCCCAGCCATCACAGATTTGTTTGTCAGAGAGTTAGTGCGGTGAGTGAATCCTGCCGGCTGCTCTGCCAGGGCCACATCCTGACGCTGCTCTGAGCAGGGGCTGCTTTGCACTTCCAGAAGACCCTACACCATCTCCGTCACAGTAGTTGTGCAGAGTCTTTAAGCCTTAGGTGCAGAATTGGAAGCGCTATTCACTATCTGCACAGAAGAGAAGGCTTTCTAAGACATTATTCTGTTATTGTGAGGGAGAGAGCGGTGTTTGTGATCCCGACAATATCTGCGTGTTTAAGTGAAACTGATTTTAAAATCATGTGCGATTGTTTTGGGGGAGAAATTCAACACAAAATTTGAGAGGTTTTTTTCTAGTACCACCTCAAAGATTTTAATCTTTGGTACATATGGCTATATAAATTTTACCTGGTTTATTTTGCATTAAAATAAAGGCTTTAAGACTATGTATGATTTTGTATTTGTGTGTAGCATCCTTCTCACCTTTGTATCTAAAAAGTCATCCCCACACCTGGATGTGATTTGATATGAAAAGATCACGTATGATCAGGCCGAATCAGAATTGGTAAGGTGACTTCTTAAAAAAAAACACCAAAAACCAGCCATGCACTGCCTTATAGAGAAAAACATCACAGGGCTTAGCTTGATACTCTCTCAAATCTGTATTGTCTTTAGTTGTAGAGCTGGAGTCCTGAAGCCATAGCCCTTGAAAGGAGAAGTGAGAGAGAATTCCCTTGCCATCGTGGTGAATTTCAGCTCAGGAGACTGCACGTTCATGGCTAAAGCTCTTGCTGTTGGTAAGAACCGAGGTGTTCTGCAGCTGTGTAGCAGGTACCAGGTCCAAGCAGTATTTCAGCGAGATGGCTGCAGCGCTGTCTTGCCAGAGATTTAGGACTCCCTGAAAGTTTTACACAGGTACTTCTCTGGAGGTACGTGGGTCATTTCACTGATGCTGATGACACTACTTTTCATACTCCAGATTATGTGCCAGCATAAATCTTTGCTGGAGCACTGAGATTCAGGCAATCATGTTATGTTAGGTGAAGTAATTTTCCAAGTAGCAAATACTTACTGAAAAGTCACCAAAACAAGAAGGAAGAGTACAGACCTTCTGAGATGAAGTATTTTTTTACTACAAAGGGGAAGGGTGAAAGAACAAAACAGAAGCACAGAAAAGTGTAGAAGGCTTACAAGACAAGATACAGCAGAAATTGCAGTAGTGGTTCAGTAAAAATGTATGTGTACTGCACTCCAAAGCATTTTGAATGCAGATCTTGGTATTTATGGCCAAGTTCATGGGCAACTCTGAGTTAGTTTTAGCAGGCATTAAATCATAATCCATATAGATGCCAATTTTAAAAGTCACTGCATCATAACTTGCACTCATAGCCAAAAACTGGACAAGTCAAACACTGCTACCTCAGTTTCTCCTTCTGCTGAAGTTGTACAAATAGTGCCAAAAATCAAACAAGGGATGTATTAAAAGCTGGAAGCTCAGTGACCACAGCTTCAGAAGGTGCTCCTTCTGCGTTGGCAGTGGTCTCCCATGGTTTCCCCATGCCAGGGCTCACTTCCCTAGGACCTGGGCTCAAGTTAACATCTGTTTTGCAGTCACTGCTGTGTCTGCATGAAGAAGTAATGTGGGTCCATTTGACTGTTAATTAATTTTAATGAACCAGACTACACCACTCATGAGACCTGCATCCTGCTGTAAGACTCTCTGCACAGAGGGTCTCAGAGCTGGGTTACTCACCCAACAGTGAGTAACCCTAATGCAGTGGCATGCTGCAATGGGGCAGCAGTTGAGCACTACCCAGGGGCAGAGCATAGCAGCCTCTCCGGGGTGAGGAGCTGTGCTACTTGGGAGGCTTTCTGGGAGTAAAATGCCATTACCAAGATTGCAGTGGAGCTGGGCTGCTTCTGCAGCCTCCCAAAAGGTATTGATTGAGCTAGAGGCTTCTGGCTCAAAAGCTCCGGAGGCCTTCTGAGGAGGTTGCTCAGGCTTCCTGTGCTTGGTGTGCTCATCCCTCCAGAGAAGGTGCAGAGGCATTCAGGCATGGCTTGGGAAAGCACGGTAACAAATGAGACTGAGAAGGGATCTTTCTTCCCAATCACGGGATCTGCTCTGGGGAGCGTTGCTCTGCTGCTGGTTTTCCCTATGGGCTGGAAAGGAGTTGCCTGATACAGGCAACCAGAGAGACAGGATTGCTCTGGGAATGGGGAAGGAGAGGTGAGGGGAGTGAGTGAGAAATGATAGGGGCAGACAACTGGAGCAAAGGAAGAGGGATTCAAAAAAGAAGTAGGGAAGAGGAAGAGGGGGGTGAGGCATGTCAGACCTAAGCAAGAAATATGTGGTGGAGAGAAGAGGGGTTTGTCCCCAATGTGTGAACGTCACATACCAACAAGAAAGGTGGCACTTTCTGATACCACTGCTCCCCAGTTACCATTTTGCATTCCAGGCTTGTGACACCCCTCCACTGAGGCCAGAATCAGGACCTGCTTGCAGTACAAGGCTACCCGTGCCTGAGGGAGGAAGCAGAAGGGCAAGTAGGAATTGTGAGGAAACCCATCAACTAGCATGGGGAGAGAGAGAGAGACACCCCTCACTTGTCACCATCCCCTCCCCTAGTTCACATCTTGCCACTCAAATCTTACAGCCTGCTCCCTACACTCCTCCTTCTCCTCCCTGGGTACCACTGACACCACAAAGTCCCCTTCCCTGACTGCCTCTTTCATCCCAGGTTCCCCCGATATCTGACGTCCCCAAAGCCATGTTGACCTTCAGACACAACTTTTGCCTTCACTGCTGAGAAGCCTCGAGCCATCTGTGAGGGTAGGTAACCAACACCAGACTTTTACTGGCACCTGAAAGCGATACAGAGTCAAAGCACGCGGCCCCCAGGGCTGGTGTCCCTGCACAGTGCTGGCTGGGGCTCTGCCCAGCTCACACGGCGTCCCTGTTACAGACAGGGACTAGTTGCATCCACTTTTGAATCAGTTGCTTTGCGGGTATAGATTGCAAGAAAGGCACAGATTTTACCTCCACTGTCTTTCTGCTTGTCTAGAACAAGCCTTTGATGTGTGCAAAAGCTGTTTTATTTCTGGCCTGGCCCAAAAATCCCGAACTGGTTTCAGGGGCCCAAAAGGTGATTATGGTCTTTAAAACAGAATTAATTCTCAAACCATTCCCAAATTATGCCTGACAAACTAACCCAAGCCAGAGGAGTTGGCTGAAAAAACCCTCAGTGCAGAGGAAACAGCCCTGCTTTGCGTTTCCAGAAGAATATCTGCATCTGAAAGAAAACAATTTCTTGGGAAACGTGTACAGTAGAGTAAAATTGCAAAATAAGACATTCAATGAGGATTCTTTATAAAACCGTGCCCTTTGCCTCCACCAGGTAATGAATAAAAATGATATAAAGGAGCAATGAACATTCAATGTTTTATATTTAAAACACATTTTGTGAGGAAAACAATGTGGCATAGAAACAGGACTGGAAGGGCTCTGCGAGATAATGCCAGAAGCTGCAAGATGTTAGCACCATTGTCATATAAGTTTCAAGGTGCAGGTTTTTAATTTTCTCTTATGAATCACAGAAACAGTCATGAAAGCTGTCATTAAAATTCATTACAAGAAAAGTAAACTTGCATTAAAACCTACCCCATTCTTCTCGGAATGCTGGGTACTGGTTAGGAAGCAGTGTCTGCTTCTCTGCCAAAACTTTACCTACGCGATGTGATTTAATCTCTAGGCTCAGTTAAATTGGAGTTTTCATACATCACATCCTTCAATCCAGAGTCAGGGAAAAAAAGAAGAAGATAAAAAATTGCAGCCTAGACTTTCAAATCAGCAAGCTACAATTTTAAGAGACTTCATCTGCCATAATTTCTCTAGGAATGAAAAGAGAATGAAGAAAGGAGCAAATATGAAGAAACTAGTTTAGAAGTGAATAAAAGTAAATAAACCAGCCCTCCCTTCCACCTTCCTTTCCTTTTCCCTTCCCTCTAGGCATATATCTGCACATACATACATGTATGTATACTTTTGATCTAAAAGCGAGTTTGCTTTCCAAATCACTTCCAGGCATTCCCTCTCTCCAAGGGGGAGTCAGTAGTTACAGCAATGTATGCATGCAAGAAAAGTGGTAGAAATGGTGACCTCTTAGTTCGTGAGTGGATGGATGCACAGAGCAAGCAGGACTGCACCACACACAGCAAAGCTAGGAGGAGGTTTTCGGGTAGAGCAGCATTTTCACATGCTACATGTAGCCCCAGCACCTGCATCTCTGTAAGTGATGGTTTCCAGAGGTGGGCTGAGCGTGCAGAGAGGTGCCTGCCCCGGCTGTGGAAAGGATTTGCTAGGGTTCCACGATGGGTGAGCACTCCCAGGTAGGCACGAGGGCCATGGCACAGCAGCAGCAGTGCACGCCCTGGGCTGGCCGGAATGGGAAGGGCAGGTGGCATGTCTAGAGAGATTGAAACCAGAGCATAAATTAGAGCAATCATAAAGCTGCTCTAAGATTATGTTAAGCAGCCTGACAGCCTGCTGGCTATTTCAGCAAGCAGAGGAAATCAAAGACACTCTTAGCATGGCCAGTTGCTAGCTCTGCAGTCAGATTTGGCCAAATCAATCACAGCTAACTCAGTCACGGGAGTGTTATGTACAAGAAAGGTGTTTTGGCAACTATTCACAGAGGCACACACACACATCCTTTTTACCATGGAGGATGTTTTCTTGCTTCCCTCCTTGTTCCTCCCTCCCCTCTGGTGCAATTAAGCCATCCAGGCCATTCATTTTTCTTTACATACAGCAAGAGGACAGTGAAGCCTCAGTGCAATGTGCATGTAACACAAGCAATGTGCTGCAAGTCTCCCCCTCCTGCTCCATTCCTCCCCCCTACACTTGGTCCCACTCCCTCCCTCATGTCCTTTCCCCTTCCCCAGTTGTAGGGATTTTCATTGCTGTGAGAGGACAAAGGTAACTGAGCTGCTATTGAAGAAAAAAGACTTGTTTTTCTTCACTGTGCTGTTCTTGACATGGATCATTTCCCAACTCAGTCCCCCAAATTGCTTTGATGGCACAAGCGAGTGGATAGAGCAGTGATGGGAACAAAGCTGGGGGGTGAGGATGGACTGGAGAGTGGTTAGACTGCTGTTGCTACAAAACAGAAAAGAAAGGCAGGAACGCTAAATCACAGCCAAAGTGGAGTGTATTTAGGAGCTTGGATTTGAAAAGCCAAGCACCATCTTCTGCAACGGTTACATTCCTCTGGATGTTTACTTCTGGCCAAGTTTCCTGAGGGCAGAGGCAGCATTCATTACGTTTGAATTCCTGAGGCTCTCGCCTGTGGATTCTCTTCTGTATTTAGCATTAGGAAAAGAGGGGAAATTGTGAGGCTTCACTTAGGTTGTGAATTTTCCCCTTCCTGGGATGACTTATGCATGAAGGCATC